GATGAGAAGGTTCTGCTCAATGGTCCCAGACTGCAGGGCACCACTTGGATGAGGACACAGTGTACGTGCTGAAATGTGGGTCTTGTTCACCAGCAGCCTCTGCCTCAGCCAAGCCTGAGGACACTGTGTGCCATCTGCTCTATCTTGATTCCATCTCTTAAGACCAACATTTTTGAGAAGATGCTGCTGAACTGGCACCCCTTTTCTGTTTTTTTTTTCACAAAAGGCTGACCAGCACAGATAACTGTGGATTTGAGGGTTAGCGGAGTTATGATCTTGACTTAGGTAGTCATGGGGCAAAGCACTCTCTGAGAGTTAGTCAGACATATGATGACTCTTTCCTAGAAGAAGATCAGATTAGCAGCATGAAGAGCTAGAATATCAGATTTAGGAAAAAGGTATATGAAATAATTGCCATTTATGCATGGTTTGGAAGGCTATCTAACTACTTCTCTCATAAGAAAAAATAGCAAAGTTCTTGATGCTTCCTGTGGGTTGAAAGTTTCATTCCCCTGTTACTTGTTCCATAAAGATGCAAGTGTTTTGTTCTGTGAACTGCAAGAGCATGTAATATAAAGAATAAAGTTTTCAACTGCTGGAATTAAATTGTTGCTTAAAGTCAAATGAGCACACCACATGAAGTCATCTTCAATCTGCTTTGATGTAACATCAGAATCCAGCCCAGATAATTCCAAATGATCAGCAAATGAATTCCCATATTGCAGTCTTTCAAGGATGTAGGCTTTATGAAGTGTCTAGTTTTCTGGATTCTTTAACTTCTAAAGTGCCCAATTTGTCTCCCTTTTAATAAGGCCTGCTTTTTTTTGAGGGAACTGCTGACTTTTCTCTGAAACTGAGCCCCCCTTTAAGATGCCGTATATTGGGCAACTAAAGCGGAGGTGTGCAGCATCACTGTTTGCTATTAGCGTCTTTTAAGTCTGAGACTGTATCGTGCAGGAGTATTGGGCTGCTGTGTTTTTCCTTTTGGGTGGGGAGATATTTAGAGTCTCAGACATGTAATTTCTGTAATTACTTGAGCAAGCACTGGTTGTCAGGCCAGGGATGGCAACATTAGGCCCTTCTGTTTTAATTTCTTCAAGGGAAGTAATATTAAATACTAAAGCTAGTCAAAGTGTCAAATAGCCTCTCATCCTAAATTGGAACAAAAGAGAAAAATGTTACAACTTCCTTCAAAATGAAGCTCCCTAAAATATTTTCAGAAATATTTAATGTATATTGAAGTCTTCACTTAGGTAAAAGAATTTCTATTGTTTGAAATCACTAACTGCAACACAACTCTTGAAGAATTTTAGTCATGTTTCAACAGAAACTATGACTGTCTCATTCTCCACTTTTCTTATAGAAAATTGTTTCGTTAGAACAATCAAATAGTCCTTCTTAAATACCCCAAATATCACAATGTCACATTTTTTGCTTACAGCTTCCTGCTTTGCATGACCCAGTTGGAGACATGATTATATCATTTCCTAACTGTGAGCCTCCCTTGTGCTAGTTTCTCCCTGTCCCTGCAGAATGCAGAAGTATCATACCAGCTGCAGGTTGATCACTTGATGCCAACCCAGTTGCTTTACGATGATTGTTGCAAGCAAGAATGGAAGGTTCGCAGACATTTTTTAACCAGTTTTAGTAGAAGAAAGATTCATAAGGTACATTTCTACAAAGAAAAGTGGGCAATAAAGAAGAGCTGTTTGTGATGTATGAAGTAAATCTGTTCAGTTTTTAGGGGCAAGAATACTGGTTTTCAAGAGATCACATTGGGCTAATGTTAGTCATTCAGAGTACGAACTCTTGGTGTGTTTGTAGATTAATAGCAAACTGTAGGCATCATAATATTTGTAATAATTAAGATAGAGCCAGTCAGGATTGCACTAGAGAATGACAACCAGTGTCATAAGTTCTATCCAGACTTAGCACGCTCAGTTGTGTCTCTTAGTAAGCAGCAATTCAACACATTTGGATTTGTCTCAGTGCATTGCTACCAGTGTGATTTTGACTCATCAGCTAGATCCTGTTGTCCAGAAGTTTGAACAGCAGAGGCACATCTCTCTTTTTCCATTTACCTGCAAATGCAGCTGGGCAGAGATGCATGTGGCCAGCCTAAGATCATGAGAAAGACTCCTACCCCCTCTACTTCTGCACAGAGGAGGAGCGTGGCTGAGACAAGTGTGCAAAAACTTTCTAAATGCTTCTGCATATACCTGAACAGTTTCATGAATTCAGGAGTAATATGAGACATGAATGAAAACTATATAGTTATTTGAAATTATTATAATAATCTTTGGAAACTTCTAGCTTACTTTTTGTAGTTGTTGCATCAGGTCCAAATTCTCTAGGATTTAGTGGCTTGTGCTGGTAACTCCTTGTGATTTTTTTTTTTTTTTTTTTTTTTAACTTTTAGCAGAAAGGTGATGAGCAGAAATAGGCACTCTGCCATCCTACTGGGGCTCAAGTCAGTCCAGCTGAAGTAATTTCTTGCATTCTCCTTGTGCAGTTTGAGACAGGATATGAGCACTTTCCCACTTGTCTTCTGGGTTAGGTACATACCTGACTGAAGGAAAACATGTTTGGGAGAGGAAGACAACATAGCTGGCCTGGGAGGAAGAGTAGTCATTAAACAGTGGGAGGGCTCTGGTTTACATTACCCAAAGTTGGGGGATCATCAAAGGTGGTCCAAGATCCTAGTTTGGCAGCATGCCTGACGGAAGGAGAAAGCTGTCTACCAATACCACGTTCCCTTGCCTTGAGCATACCTTTCATTTTTCCAAGCGTTTTGTTTCACTTACAGCTTTGAAGAAGTTCATTATTGATTAAGCATCAGTATCAATTCCAGTAGCTCTGTACTTTGGTCTTTCCTCTCCGTGTCCCATTAATACAATACCCTAGAAAATATGCTGTTTTGAAGCTTTATCTTTCTACTTTCCCCTCATGGGTACGTGGCCTGTGGGGTTTCTGCTCGTACCTCTCCCTTGCTAGTGAGACCTGGAGTTCATCTCCCACACACACCTATAATGAGACCATGGCTTCATGAGCCTCTTGTTTTCCCTTCTTTTCAACAACTCACTAGGCTTGAATGCTTGGAGCTGTTTGAATTTTTCAAAAGCTTCACCATGCCAAGAATGTTTTTCTGTAGGGCGTCCTTTTTTTCTTCTTCTGCCCTCCCCGCTCCTGCTAAGACTCATGATTCATTCTGAGACGGTTGAGCATTTCAGTGCATGATGATGAGGTACATGAAGACATCAAAGACCCAAGTACAAGCAAGGTCTGTCCTGACTTGGGATCACTGATTGCAGTACAAGGCAATGTCTGAAATTCAGTACCAAAATTCCTGACTACTGCAGGTACTTCGTTCTTTTATGTTCAGACTATTTGTAGTGTTGCACTTAACCTTAGCACAGGATTTTCCCATAAGCACTACAGTAGAAAACGCTAACTTTAATCTTTCAGACCACTAACGAACCACTGTCTCTCTGTTCTGTCCTGTAATTAAGCAGAGATAATGATGGAACTATAACAAGTGAGGACAGTGTTAGCAATGAGGTCCAAGAGACATTCCTTCATGAGGCACTAAACTGTCCCAGACCTTACTGTGACTTGGAGAAGCCAGTCTCAGCTTTGTACTGCCTTGCGTGTTTGTTACTAGCAAATGTTGACAGTTTCTTTCTGTCTTTCTCTTTAATTGTTTAGTTGAAATAATGACATTTTCCTCTTGAAAAATTCTTAATTTGAAAAATCTTGAGCAGGTCAAACTCTAATTGTTTTGCTCTGCATTGTAGGTGATTTGGAGGATATTTGCACATTTCTGTATGATATCCCCAAGACAATTATAAATTCATTTTTTGCTTACAATGACTTGTTGACAGTGAGCCTAGGAGATAGGAAAAGCTTTGACATCAAACACAGGATATTTGAGGAGCTTGTTTATGAGAATTCAGCACCAAGTCAAATGCCTGTTGCTATGGAAGAGGTTCTTGGCAATGTGATCATATGGGCATTTTTTATGTCATTTTAGTTTTGTTTTACATGTATTTTTGAGTTGACAAGTAATATACCAGTGAATGAAACCTATAAATGCATTGTTGACTGGCTACTATCTCAGCAGTAACCAAGTGGGGCTAATCGTTTTAGCTCAAGAGTGTCCAAACTTTCTGATCCTATGGGATCAGATGAGTGTATAGAGCTGAGTATCTTACATAATATAGATATTTCATTTGTCAGAGATCTGAAGGATCTGGAGTAATTCCCAGGTGAGACAGGGTGTCAGCTGCCTATTAGTTTTAGCACATCTTTGTGCTGGAATAGGCTGGGTGAGGTGTGCAGTTGAGTCCAAATGACCCATCTATTGACTCACATAGTGAAGTCAGATTTACTCTGTATTTCCTACCCAGCAGCAGCTGGTGACCAGTCACATAGCTGTATTCCCAGTGTGGGAACCAAACCTGAACCATTTAAGAGCTGCAGAGGGTCCTAGAGCCACAGAGCAGATGCCTCAGCTCCAACACTTACTCCAGAACTGACATTAACATGGAGTTAAACTGGCAGATCTACATGTGGTAGAAATTCAATATATCTCCGTTAAAATGAATGTGCTATACTGGGAAAGGGCCTGGCCTCCAGTTCTTAAGAGGAAAATTTATCTTAATTATCTTAAGGATAATTAGGTATTTTGGAATGCTTGGAAACAAGATTCCGGTATCCAGGGATTTATGCATGAAAAAGGAGAAATCATGAAAGCTACCAATTGATTCTTTATAGTTTGCTCCTTAACAATTATGCACTGATACTACAAGATGCATTGATATGGACTGTGGTTTGAAAAGCCAAGGATAATTTCCACAGAGCCATGAAGGCTTCAGAACTGAGTCTCATGAGAGTTCAGATCTTGTTGATCTGAAAACATTCTGTGGTCACAGAAGAGGTTAGATCCATTTCCTTTGTATTAATAATTGGAATTTTTTTTTCTTTTTCATTTAGGTCTTGCAAAGCCCATGGGATTAGTTGAAGGTCCAGGAGGCCTGGGCCAGGGGGGAATGGCTGCTACCCTGAGAGATGACAGCCATGAATCAGAGACTAAGTATGAAGAATATGGTTACAATGCCCAGCTCAGTGACAGGATATCATTGGACAGGTCCATCCCTGACTACAGACCAAAAAAGTAAGTTGAATTCCTTATTATTAATAAGAGTAAGTGATTGATTGTTGTTCTGTTCACCCATGGTGGCATTCTTCTCTTCACATCCCTTCCTGGTTAGAGTATGACAGCAGTTAGTCATACATATACTCCTGAGTTTAGTGAAAATTAAAAAGACCAACTGCCATCTCAAGCGTGAAATGTCATGTAAAATGCATAGCTAATTCTGTGAGTAATGCATTAATACGCATATTCAAGGCCTCAGATCAAAAACTACACCTGGATATTGGTGCTTATTGGGTTTGGTTCACTTAGAAAAAGCCAGGTAGAGCCAGCGGAGCCCACCATCAGAGGTGGGAGCTTTAGTCTGTGCTTCTTGTAGTCATGTGTAATGGAAGGTGGGTCAGTGACAACAAACTCTTTGTAGGTACTGGTCGCTTAAAAATACAACAACATCAAATCAACTGCCTTTTCTTTAATTGCATTTGATGTTCTTAGAATTGTTTAGTCAGGGTTTACAATGTGCTGAAACATGGACTAAGTGTAATCCATCGGGGTCCTACAATTACAATGAGATTTTTTTTTGTCTTTGGAATGTGTGCTTATTTTTATTCTAGTGTTATAGTCTTCACATGCCTGTGCTATGTTTGACATTGCAATTATATGTTTAATATTTGCACTGATTTATTATATTTTGTATTAAATATCTTTCTAATCTTTCATATTTATGGAGTTATGTATCTTCCAGATGAGACATCCACACTGTCATCCTACGAATGACAATCAGTAATGTCTTAATGCAGAGGAGATCAGCAGCAGTGCCTAGTTACTCTCAGGAGATAGAATTGAAAAGAATACTTAATTAATTTCTAATAATAATCTTCTGGTTTAAAAGACCCACTGGGGCTCCTAGGCAGAACTAAAAGTTAAATAAAAAAGTATCCTATTAAGTGGCAAGAAAAGTTTAGCCAAGCAAAACAGCTATGCTCTGTGAGTAGATTGCAATTGAATTAGGATTTTAGGCAGTTCAAGCTGCCAAAACCAAAATCCAGCAAAACAAAACTTCAGCTTAACTACAAATTTCATTAGCTGTGTTACATATTAATCTAATCTCAGAAGTATTGACTCAGCATTTTTCTCAGACACTTGCTATACAAACAAAAACCTAGATAAAAGAAGTAGCAAAGAGAAGAAAATCTACTGCTCTGATATCACATCTGATGCAAGTATACTGACTTGTCCAATGGTCTTATCTCTCCCATCTCTCTTGATATATCATAAAAATCTGTCATGGAATTATTCTGGGGAAAAAGTAGTCTATAGTTATGCAAATATTTGAGTTGTGCATCAGATCTGGTCCAAAGACCCTTAAAATCAGTGTGGAGTTTTTCAAATGAATGTCAGCAAGGTTTGACCTGGCCTGTTATTAGCTGCTGCGGTCAGGTGGATAATAAATGGGAATGCTCTACTAGGAGATACAATAGCAAAGGTTGCAGAGCTTGAATCTAGCTCAGCGGCCGTCAGAGGCATGAGAGCATTTGCAATGCAGTGATGTTTCACTTCAGGTTATACTCTTCCACAGTTTTACTTGGAAGCTTTGATGAGTCATTCAGATAAGCTTTTTGATGTGCTCATTTTGGGAATTTCATAAGGCCCTGCTGCATGATTAATGTCTGAGTTACTGGGAGAACTGCCTTCCTTGTGGTGGTTTGACACTTTTGAGGTGGTTCTAGTTAGGTCTAGATGTTGAAACACTTATCTCTAGATACTTACAAGTCACAGGAAAACCCTTCAGATTGAATTTGTTATGAAAAATGAGTGAAAGTGTGGAGAAGGTAGAAGCTCTTATTATTTGAAGAGTTTAATCCGCTTATATCAAAGGAGCTTTGGCTGCCATTTGGTTGCCATTTTCTATTAGAAATTTCTGCTCTCCTCATGAGCAGCATTTTTTGTCTCTGACCCCTTCAAATACACAGCTACTCACATACGATCTTTCTTGGGAGCTCTCACTCTCTCTGAGAGGCATTGTTCACTCTGTACCCTATCAACCTCTTCTTATCCATCATGTAGGACCACATCTGCTTACCTAACAGATGATAGTTGTGCGTCATAGCCATAAGGCAAAGCTGAGCTTGACTTTCTGTTTGGGTTAGACACTCTGCTGTAATTATGTATTGGAGAGACCTAAGTCTCCAGATCTTTGAGATAGGCTTTGGGAAAACCACTCTTGTTTTGTCCAGCTTTGTGTGCTGACTTACCCAATGGTCTCATCTCTCCATCTTTTGATAATAGCTCTCATTGCTGAGCCTGTCTCAATCTATCATTGAATCATAGAATGGGTTGGGTTGGAAGGGACCTTAAAGCCCGTCTAGTTCCAACCCCCCGGGTGCAGGCAGGGACACCCTCCACTAGACCAGGTTGCCCAAAGCCTCATCCAACCTGGTTTTAAACACTTCCAGGGATGGGGCATCCACAGCTTCTCTGGGCAACCTGTGCCAGTACCTCGCCACTCTAACAGTAAAGAATTTCTTTCTAACATCTAATCTAAATCAACCCTCCTTCTACTTGTGATTTATATTCGTGTCATTCCCAGAACTTTTCACTTTTAAAAAAGGGAGGAGTTTTCATTTTTAAATTGAGAAGCAAAGTAGAATTAATGTACAAAGTCCATGGCCAGTCCATGAATAAAAACACCTATCTGGATCCACATTCCCAAAGTATTAAACCACATTTTCTCCCCATTCTGGCTTCCATTTAAAATGTGCAGATCTACATATTTGCACACACCAGTAGGTATTAAAGATATGAACCAGGAGAATTCATACTCAAATCTGCATTGCATAGACACAACTTATGAAAGTAAATATGATTTTGCTATGCAAATGAGGGACGTGTCATATTCAAGGCTTAGTCATCTTTTAAAATAAATTTGATCAGAAATATTATCCTTTAGTTAATTTTATCTTTGAACTTCCCCCTTATTATTGTTCAGTGTCTTTTTCTGGTAAAATAAGCCTTTTATTCCATCTACTAGCATAGCTTCAGTAAACATTCAGCAGTTTAATTGCTTTTCAAGAGGTATTTTCATCCCCACAGAGCAAACTGAAAAAAATATGTTACACTGAAGAGGTGTACAGCATGACCATGAAGGTTCCTAAATTGGAGTTACCTCCACGTCCTTCCACTGCAGTAAAATCTGCAAGCCTGGGTGGGTAGTCGTGCTCTTGAGATGCTTTTCCCATGCACTCGCATTGTGTTCTGCTTTCCTACCTGCTGCTGCCATTGCAGATGCTCCTTTCTTTAACTCAGAAGCCTTTTCTTTACAACAGGAGTTGCCAAGTCAGTACAGGAGATGAGCAGATTTTGTGCATGTTGTGTTTGTGTGCCAAATCGAAGCAATGACAGTAAATAACTTGCGATTACAATTCACACAATAATTACAAGATTATAGTTTGATCCTAACGTGGTGTAATAAGTATGTATCAGGTTTTTTCTTCTGTGATATTGTACCTCCCACAGCTTGAATGCTTGCCCTGTCTCTGTGTTGAAAGCAGACAACCCTGGGGAAACAGTTCAAAAACATACTGTGAATTGATATTTCAAGCTATGTTTAGTTTCAAGAGACGTGTAATATAGAGAAGTTGCAATTTTGTTTTATAAAACAATGCAAAGCCTCCCCAACAGTTTGTAAGTTTATTCAGTGTGACCTTGAACATTACCTTCATTTCTTGTTGGATTTCACCTAAACCATATGGGCTGATTTTACAGTTGGGCTGATGATCTTTCCATAACGTATTATATGTCTTAATGGTGACTTTTGCCTTGAAGCAGCTGAGTAGAGTGCAGCTGAGTACTCTGAGAAGATGCAAGGACTGAGAAGTGGGAATGAAATGCTTTTGAGAGCAACGTCAAGCACAATACTCAGGATTCATTATGGTTGATTGATGAGTATTTAGAAGTGTTCGGCTAATCATCCTAGTATTGGACTGACATGAGATTTTGCTTCATGCACTCAGTGGAAAGTGGTCGATATCTTGTTGTCTGTTAAAATACATGAAAATAACTCCAAAATAGTGGTCTTGTTAATACCGACTAAGTATCTAAATTCTAGAGTAAATTTTTTATTATGTATGAAATCTACATTAATGCCAAAAGAATTTTGCAGGATTATTTTTGTTACAAGGGAATTCATAATGCTTGTTACGGAATTATTTTCATCCCCTGTCATACAGGTACATATCAAACTTGAAAAACATTTCTCGAATTAAGAGCAAGCCACAAGAAGGGGCAAGGAAAGTAGCACAGGTCTCTGCATGTCGCTGCTGCAGCCCCGTCTTTGCTCCCCAGTGTGCTGAAGTTTATCAAGGGCTATATCACTGTGGAAAATATATTGCAGAGAGCTCAGGATATTCAATGTCCTGATCTCTCTTCCCAGCAGTAAAGTATTAGCAGGACTTTCTAGCCCTCACTAACATATCCTATTTCCTCTGTGCAATGGAAGAAAAAGAAGCTTCTCTTGTAAGGAACAGGTTATTTTTCCTTTGGAAGCACATGGCTAAGCTAGAACTTGCTCTGTGGTTCTCTGGGAAGAGTGTTATTTAATGGTGAAATATTATTGGACTAATTTCCATTTCTGTTCTTCCATATTCAAAATGAGTGTTGTGATTACATCAACCTGAGTACTTAGTGGAGATCAATCCAGTGTTGGCCAATGACCCTTACATGTATGCGTGAGAAAGCATAAGCACGTGCATTTGTATCAGTTATCTCTACCAATACATATAGATGTAGAATAGTCTTGAATCCTACCCATGGGAATGCCGTGAAATCTGCTGGGCTGTGTGCATGCCTTTCTTACAATAACTGTCAAAGAACCAGTGTTTGACTGAATAATCAAAACTAGATCTGGAGCCACACAGCTGAGATTTTCATAGAGATTCTGCACTTTCGAGCAGAAGTGCCCAGAGTCAGCCACCTAAACCCCTGCATAGACATTTGTCTTCAAGTGGTTTAATTTGTTAGGG